ATTGTACTATTTGTAGGCATATATTATAGGTCTCAGATATATAAAAAAACATGTCTATGAAGTGTTTTGCTCGAAATATAAAACAGATCACCCATTCTAGCCATGTCTCATACCCCTCTATTTCAGCCCTGTTAGAGAAGTGCTGATTCCGGTGCGTAGCTTTAAGACAAAGAAACGATAGCCGAGACGAGAGCTCATGCAGGAGAATTCTACCCAGATACTCAGCTAAATGCTACTGTGATTAAATGCCAAATTATGTTCCAAACCACATCAGGGATTATTTCTGAAACAGTATGGAGCTCAAACGCTTTCTCTCTTGCGGGTTTACCACAAGGTGAGTACCTTTTTATATACTGCTTTTTTACACATACTCTCTCCAGTACAGGTTAGCTCTGAGTGTTAGCAATGCTTGCTAATGTAAACAAAGAACACATTACTTTCAAAACGTTGCGCATTGTTTCTGATAGACTGAGGAGTGCAGATGGAAATGAGCTATTAGCTATAATCTGGCATAATTCATATTTTCTCTTTTCTGAGATTAATGTATTTGTACGCATGGTCCTCTTTGAAATAAATACATAATATACATAGCGACGTTTCTGATAGCGACGTTTCTGATAGTGCGTAAAGCCAGCCCACATTTCCGATATAACGTCATATCGGTAGCAAATCTGGATCAGCTCCGTTGTATCCCCGTTTTTAGAGATGTGGGTAAGGAGGAAAAGAGAGAGGGTTGTATTTTTGGACACTTTTGGCGCATTTCCACTGCAGGGCCTTGCACGGCTTAGTACGGTACAGTTAGGCCTTGGTAGGCCAGGCTCACTTTATGCTGCGTTTCCATTACAGTTTAGGAACTGGGGTAGTAACTATAGTAATGCTGTGTAGGCGGAGCCGTGACGTCATCTTCAATGCGAACCACAAAACCAACATCAGCCGTTAGCTGTTAGCCCTCAGAGCTCACAGCTCCTCATATCTGTTCAGAAACTAGACAAAAGTTAAACAAGTACAAACCACAGACTGTCTGTGTCATGGTGAATACAGTCGCTGCTTTATTTACAGTGCCTTGCGAAAGTATTCACCCCCCTTGCCATATTTCCTATTTTCTTGCATTAAAACCAAAAATAATATAATATTTTTGGGGGGATTTTATGGCAAGACCCCACACAAAGTCAGTCAAAATTGGTGAAGTGAAAGAAAAAAAGAGCACGTTTTAAAACATAACAAAAAATGTAAAACTGAAAAGTGTGCATATGTATTCACCCCCTTTGCTATTTAGCCCAAACAAAGACCTTCAGAGTCACAAAATTATTTAAATAAAGTTCACCTGTGTGCAATCAAGTGCCTCATTTTCTCAAATTATTATATTAATTAATTATTATTATACAACCGTTGTAGAAGGCCTCCGTCTTCCATACCACAGCAAGTGGCCTTTCTAAGCAAGAAAACGACACCATGAAGACTAAAGAGCTCTCCAAACAGGTCAGGGACGAAGTTGTGGGAAAGTATGAGACAGAGTTGGGTTATAAAAAAATCTCACAAACTTTGAACATCACGAAGCACTATTAAATCCATTATTTTAAATGGAAAAAATATGCCACGACAACAAAGCTGCCAAGAGAGGGCCGCCCACCAAAACTCTCACACCGTGCAAGGAGAACATTGATCAGAGAGGCAACAAAGAGGCCGAGGATAACCCTGGAGGAGCTGGTAAGCTCCACAGCAGAGAGAGGAGAATCTGTACATAGGACCACAGTAAGCCGTACACTCCACAGAGCTGGGCTTTATGGAAGAATCGCAAAAGAAAATAAGAAAACATGTTTGGAGTTCGCCAAAAGGCATGTGGAAGATTCCCCAAACATGTGGAAGAAGGTCCTGTGGTCAGATGAGACTAACATTGAACTTTTTGGCCATCAAGGTAAACGCTATGTCTGGCGCAAACCCAACACCTCTGATCACCCTCAGAACACCATCCCCACAGTGAAGCAAGGTGGTGGCAGCATCATGTTGTGGAGATGTTTTTCATCGGCAGGGACTGGGAAGCTGGTAAAAATAGAAGGAGTGATGAATGGAGCTAAATACAGGGAAATACTTGAGGAAACTGTGTTTCAGTCTGCCAGAGATTTGAGGCTTGGGCAGAGGTTCACCTTCCAGCAGGACAATGACCCAAAGCATACTGCTAAAGCAACGCTAGAATGGTTTCAGGGGAAACATGTAAACGTTTTGGAGTGGCCTAGTTAAAGCCCAGACCTTAATCCAATCGAAAATCTGTGGTATGACCTAAAGATGGCTGTACACGAGCGGAACCCATCTAACCTAAAGGAGCTGGAGCAGTTTTGGCAAGAAGAATGGAAGCAAATCTCAGTGGAAAGATGTGCCAAGCTTATAGACACATACCCCAAGAGACTTGCAGCTGTTATTGCTGAATAGTTATGCACACTCATGTTTTTTCTTTTTCATTATTATTTCTTGTTTGTTTCACAATAAAAAAGATGTTTTGCATCTTCAAAGTTGTAGGCATGTTGTGTACATCAAATAATACAAATTCTCCAAAAATCAAATTAAATTACATGTTTTAATGCAATAAAACAACAAAAATTCCAAGGGGGGTGAATACTTTCGCAAGGCACTGTATGTCTGTATAGGCCGTTGTTGTGAGTGTGGACGGTCGGAGCATATACTGCGTTAGCTTAGCCGATCTCCATTCAGAAAACACGCATTTTAAAAGGTTTTTCGCCTGCCGTCTGTCTGCAGACTTGTCAAAGCATTAATTCATGGTTTTTACTAACCGGTATCAGTATGTTGTTACTTCGGCATCATTTTGAAACGTGTATTACAATTAAATCACGGTCAAATATGTTCATCTTGTTGTAGTTGCCAGCGATTCTCTCACTAGTTTAGCATACTCAGCCCGGTTGTTGGCCCGGAAAGAACCTCGATTTTGGAGAGCCAGAAAACTGTGAAAAGGTACCCGCTAGCCGGAACTACGCCTAGTGGAAACACAACCAAAAACGGGCCGGCGGCACGCTTAAACCGCGCTGTAGTGGAAATGCGCCATATGAGAGTTCCCCGACACACCGGGGACACATATTTATGTTTAAAAGACATCAAAAAGTGCATTTTGCTTGATAGGAGACCTTTAAAGTCTGATCTTAAACAGAACATGTTACCCCTTTGCCTTTTTTTAGTTTGGATAATGTCCATCTTTTCAGACTGGTGGCCTCTCATTGTGTGTGTGTCCTGCATGCATGATCATGGGCCGATCTACCCTGTGGTTACACTGCTATAGTTTAGACAGCCCGAAATATCCATGTTTTATTTTAGGTTTTAAACACCACATGTAAAAAGCTTTCTTCTTCCACAAGGTTAGTATTAGTTTCTATACATTGCACTCCCTGTAATTGTTGATGTCTTGGCCAAAAGAGGTCTTTCTTGGAAGCTATAAAAAAAATCATCACAGTGTAATTTACATTCAGGCGTGCAGCCAGGAATTTCAGGATTGAATTTCAGTTTCTCCAAACCTTGGGAGATTAACCTAAGGGAATTATCAGTATCAAGTGCAGGTGATAAAAAAGTGTATTTAGAAGTGTGGAGAGGACACAGAGTTATGTAAAATACATTTCGACAGCTAATATGTGTGCTGTTTGTACAGAGACAAGGTAAAGGTTAATCACTGATTGTGTCTGCAGTTGGATAATAAGAAGAGTTAAACCAGGTGCAAAATACTGTCAAACAAGGTCAAATCCAAACAGCACGTACAGCTTTAGACCACCAGCCCTTTAAAAAGTGGCTATTTCAGGGGCTGCCCTCCAAAATGACAAAAGGAAATCTCCTCTCAGCACCACTTCATCACACCACAAGAATAAACCACTGGATGTACATCTCATCTGACGGAGGAACTGTCTTCCCATCTGCCTCACTTTCTGTCCCCCGTGACTCTTTAATGGGAAAGCAGTCTGTTCTCACAGCACCTCAAACACTTCCTGACTCAGTTGTAGCAGAGGCAAAGTAAACAAGTGAAATCCTCCTCATACACTGACAGAAATGCAACTTTAGGAAGGCTTTGATAACTCTAATTTAGAAATACTTTGTCCGGGTCACTAGTGGTTACCAAGGTAAATAAGCCAACATGTTTGCTTGGTTCTCCACCTCCGGGACGGACAGTCTGCGTGAAGCACCGACTTGGCAGAGCGGTGCCCTGGAAAACACATCAGATGGATGTTACATGCACATTGTAAACCGCTTAAAGTGGTGCGCACAGATTTAGTTCAGCAAAAATGTCAGGTAGATTGCAACACATACGGAAAAGGTTATTTATTTATTGATACAGTATAAATACATGTATTCTACCTTGGTTCTTCTGGAAACAGACAACACATGCTTTACATCAAACATTTGTTTTTGTTTTTCAGAGACTTAAGCTTCAATTATATCATGTTCGAATATAAGTCATGACCAAAATGGCATAAATGTGTAATTTTACCCACATAAGTTTGTCTGAATTGTTCTTCTGTTTTTTTAAGCAAGATCTATGAAACATGCATGGGGCATGGGGGATGAATGAAAAGGGTCATTAAGGACGCAACAAACAGACTAAATGCTGCAGATTCTAAGCACAAATGACTTATTTGTTCCATTTTTAAGAGTAACATGTTGATTAATACAGCTTTAATCAAAGTCAATTGGCAAAATAAAGTCCTTAAATCATTCGTTTTGAACCACAATGCAGGTTGCCGAAACTGCAAAGACTCAACGTGAGATTCCAAAAGTATTTTAGATGCATCATCATTCAGCCCATCTCTTTTCATCATGGACACATTTCATGCAGCCTTTAATTAGCCGCATCTTTTCAAGGCAACTTGTAAGAGCCCGAGGAGGTTGGCCTTGAAATGAAGCACGAAAAAATGATGATAGAGGACGAGGAGGAGGAGGAGGAGGAGAGTGAGAGGAGGGGGTGAAGAGGGAGCTTGTTTCAGTTTGCAGTAATCGCTCATCCAGGAGCCGCTCCACTCAGGGATATTTGGATTTTCTCAGTCTGGATGCTGTAGCTCGGGGTCGGACTCTCTCTCTTCTCTCAGACTTCCTCGTGTGTGTCGCAGCGGCTGTGTGTGAGGACCGCTGCATGTCTGGTATCCAGACATGGGCCCCTATTTTCGCTCTGGGATTACTCTCTGCCTGGTCATCACCTTGGCTCAGGTGATCACAGTCACCTGCCAAGAAGATACCAAGAACGGTGAGTGACAGCCACCTCCTCCGAAATGTGTTTTCCTCAATGTGTAAGTTACTGACAGGACGATGCAAAATCAAACAAAAAGGTCATGAAATTGCATTTGTGCTGACAATAAACATTGTTTCCATGCAAATATAAAAAGTGTAAGGTCATAAATTCACTCTGGTAAAGTTACTTTTGGTCTAACTTGTCAACGGATATATATTTCCTCCTGCTTTGCTGTCTTCAGTGATTCATGATTGTCTAACCGAGCCCTGTGAAAACATTTACCTCTGTTTTTCTAATGCAAGTGACAGTACTGTTTGTCTTTCCCATCATGCTCTTGGTTTATTTTTCAGAGTTAAGGAAGTGGGATGGGAAGTTGTCTCATCTGTTGAAGTTTTAAACATATGGCCTGCTCTGCCTCCCAGAAACCGGACCACACTGGCCTTGTGGTTCAGAAACTGAACACCCCAAATCACACCCAGAATGTCTTTTAATACCCTAATCAGACACCCCTTTCCTGTTAAAGAAAACACGTATTGATGATTAAGATGGAAAATATATTGTTAACCTTTCAGGAATTCATTATAAATGGAGAAAGTGAAAGACATCTCTTTGGCGAAGTGGCATCAAAGTCTGAGGCTGAATCGGCTTTACACTGCTAGGCAAATCAACTCCAAATCATGACCTTTAAACAATTATAAATCTAGAATAAAATGTCCCAGTGGATGTTGATCCTGGGTCGGAAATATCTCCCCCCCCCTACAGGCTGCAGCACTGGGCTATTTCAGTGCGAGGTGGAGGCTGAATGATGGGGTTCTCTGCACCACGGCTATAATGATGTGGCCTTGCAGATGGGATGGACAAAAGCAGGCCACTCATTTTGGTCAGACTCCGAGCCAGAGGCAGACAGGACACACCCAGAGTGAGAGGATGCTGCATCTGAAATATGCCTCGCTCACTTCCATCCAAGTTCACCTCCGCTGAAGCTGAGAAAGTTGAAAGTAATTGTACATCTGAGTTTATGCTTCAAAGATATGCTCTTTTGGGGTCTTTCAGAGCAATTACAGCCTTTTCTCCAGCTCAGGACTGACAGGTGTGTCACTGGAGGACAAACCCTGATTTAGGGTGATCCAAAGCTGCTGCAAAAGTTTAGTTGTTGTGTTTAATTACAGTTACAGGCTGTTATCAGGCCCCTTTGGTACTTGCTAGCTGTTTCCTTTCTTTATGTTAGGCTACAATAAATGGCTTTATATTGACAGTACAAACATGAATGATACCTATTAAGCTCTCGGAAGTTAATTAGCATCCGAAAACTCGAATTAGAATAAGGCTAACCAAAGCCTACTATCCTAGTGTTTGAAGCAGGGAGTACTGCAAGAAATATATATATATAGAGAACAATTACAATAAAACTATTTAACATACCATGAAGTTTGAAAAAAGTAGAATATTATTTATGATGGAATGAGAGAGGATCCAGGTCCATTCCTTTAATATGATAGCCATATTATATATGTTTAAAATATGATTTTTGTTGCGGCTGAAAATGCAGCTATCATTACATGTCACATGTATACTGTATAACCGGTTTAACATAATCGTTTATTCAGCAATGTTTTATTTTGAATACTTCTAGAAAGAGAAATGTTTTCCAACATTTCAGAGGAATAGGAAAAAAGCTTTTTTTCCACTTTTTGTTTATGTTACAACTCGGTGTGGGGGTCCTACCCACCTTGCAACACCATGGGAATGGAAGGGACATTAATACTGATTCCTCTTCAGCACGATACACATTTAAGGAATTTAGAAACCAAGTGTAGCTGTATTCAGATGCTCTGGTTGTGTTACAGCCAGGTTTATCAGCTGTTGTTGTTGTTGTTGTTCTGAGAAAATAGTTAAACAGTCTGAGATTTATGATACTGGCAGCACGCATGTTAAAACGTCTCCTGAGTATTTAACATTTTAGAGTGCTGTTCTTGGCCCAGTGGGTGTGAACGTGTGTGTGTGTGTGTGTGTGTGTGTGTGTGTGTGTGTGTGTGTGTGTGTGTGTGTGTGTGTGTGTGTGTGTGTGTGTGTGTGTGTGTGTGTGTGTGTGTGTGTGTCTGCTGGTGGTCACATATTCCACATTTAGAGATGTTTTATATTGAAGCAACAACGTGTGTGACAGTTTTTATTCTTGATTTGAACCTGGTTGGTTTAAACAGGAGCGTCACTGTCTTCCCTTGGTTGAAAACTCTTAAAGACACAAAATATCTTGTGACCCCTTTACTTCATCACGTGAACCCTTCAGGAGTCCCAACCCCCAGCTTTGGAGCCACTGGCTTAAGGTGGCGTTTATGTGGACTGAATACGGTTTAATAATAAACCTGAGTTGAGGAGGTTTAGGCAAACCACTATGTCAGAGAGTTTCCTCTTAGGGAAGAAACCAACACTTAGTCATCATAATTGCTCTCATGCTGTATATCCACACTATAATCACGGCTAAAAAACATAGATTTCGCTCACTTTTACAAAGTCTTTCTCAAGCATCAGCAGAAATGTTATATTTGATCTGCAAAGCTCAATGAAATGAACGCCTTTTTTTTGCACAAGGATTTTTTCGTTTAAGACCTCTGTAGACTTAAACCCCCAACTCATCAACTTTGTAGCTGCTGTCTGGTGCATGCTGCTCTGCAGGAGGGTCCTCCGGGTGTGGCACCGCTCTGCTCTCCCAAATAGTGAAAGCCACAAGTTCTACTCAAACCCAACGTATAATACAGCCGCTGTGGTTTCCCTGAAATAACTCCAGCTTTTGAAAAGCTGCGTCTCTCGCGGGGAGAGGCTCCACCACATAATTAGTACTTAGGACGTCCCTGGCAGGATTAAAATATGCTCACTGAGCTCGTAGCAGGTGGCCATATTCCCCTTTTTTCCCTCTTCTTTTAAGTTTAGACTTTAAAAAAAAAACAGCTGCACAGAAGAGGGATCAGGATGTTGGCCCATAACCAGCAATGTACACAAACCGTCCATAAATACATTTCTTAAAACAAGAATAAAATGTGCAAGCAAGGACTTATAAACCTCTTTCTGTCAGTTTTTCTGGATGTGTTGGAAAAATGATAGTGATAAGAAAAGTGTATTTTGAGTTTGAGTTACTGATTGATATGGATTTTTTTTTTTGTAGAGAATTCCTTAAACGCTTTGGAAGTGTGTTGAGTCCGCTGAAACTGGTGCCATTTCATTTATGTTTTAGAACTTTTTTTACATTTTCCTTTTTTTCTATATAATTGTATTCCTACGCAAACAATTAAAGTCACATTTCACTACCTACCTTACCTCGCCTGCACACATACAAACTATAGGTCTCATCTTGTTTTGTGTTTACAGTTGAAAACATTGCTGTTGGTGCAAAGATGATTACACACTTGCATACGGACACATTTACAGCCAGGAGCCGTCACATCCCACCACAGTCTAGTCAAAGTGGTAATCAGCGGCAATTTGCCCAAAAGTGTCTGTTATCTATTTTTAGTTTCCATACAAATGAATACACTGTATTCCTTCCCCTGATGTCAAACTTCGTATTTAAAAAGGTTTGACTTAACTAATTTACTTCATATCAAAACAATGTATTATTAGGGTGTACATGAGAAATGAAAACATCCTTTTTGCACGTGATTGATTTGCAATTGACTTGTTGCTTGGGGAAAAAAGGTTTCTTTTCAGGGCAACTTATAAAACGAGTAGAACTATGCATGCCTATAAACTGACTGCTATAATCAGTGGAATTTCCCTTTGAGGTGAGATGGGCATAATTATGTTTTAACGTTATATACTGTAGTTAATTGGACTACAGTATAGTTGATGTATTTTATGCCTGTGTCATGAATGAATCAATTCATATGTGATCAGATTGTTATTGCATTGCTTAGTAATGGGTGCAACCTGCTGGACAAGGGTGGAAAGTACAGTTAACATACTGTAGCCTGTGGTTTGTGGTAACGCAATGATTTCTTGGTCGGTTTGCACTGATGAATTTTTGTTCTTTAAGATTGTTGAGATTCATTTTACAATGGGAAACAATACAAGACCGTAAAAGATGAGATTAAGGTTGACTTCATTGGGAACACTTTGCTAACATATGCTAACATGCTAATAACTGCTCTGGATTTTCTATAAAATACTCAATGTTTCCTTCAAGAGCACCCTATGTTTTTTAATGTGTAATTTTTAGCAATATTGGCAAAGACCTTGCTTTAGTCCACGTTCCCTCCTACAGGGAACATTTATACTCAACACCTTCAGTTTCCTTTCAGTTGGGGCAACACATCATTATGGGGTTTGGACAATCACAATGATCATTTTCTTATAAAAGACAACAGAGTGTAGCTTTCATTTCAAGTATCATCACAATGTGGCCTCACGTCATTCTAAACTGCAGTGATGGAATGAGAGCATAAAAAAGAAGTTTGCAAACTACAATTACAGAGAGCTGCATTGGCAGTTAGCACTTTCAAATCATCACATTTAAATTGCTCAAAGAAATAGTTATGACTATCATATATATATAGTATTTTATCTGCAAACCTCAATAAAATAAATCCCTTTTTACCAAGAAGACCAATATATTTTTTACGGCAATTGCAAAAGTGTACAAATATTATCTTTAAATAAAAACTATTACAAATATATACTGCTCTTTATTATTTGCAACTCTTTTGTCCCTGTCCGGATCCTGTAGAAACGATCACTCAGTTTTTCCTGAGATCTGATTGGTCAGTGTTCAGACTGCAGTTACACGTTCAATCAGTGCGTGCAGTGGAGATAAACTTTAATTGAATCTTCTCATCTTTGAAGTGTTGACAGAAAGTAAGTGAAAACATGTGACATTTATTTATCAGTTTTTGTTGGAGTGTGTTCTTTGGAACACGCTGTATTAGTTTGGAGAGGTTCAGCTCCATTACAGCTCAGACGAGCTCATTAGCAGCCAAGTGGAAACACCTGGCAGTTCAAATGTCCCGCCTCGTGTCATTGTAGTTTACATACTTATAAAAACAATGTTCTTTTCTTCTGAACTTTACCTGACCTATAAACATACTTTCTGCAAAGTAACAGTACAAATACTACATTGTAAACATACTCTGTTATAAGTAAAAGTCCTGCATTCAAAATTGTTCTCAAGTAAAAGTACACAAGTATTAGCATCGAAATAACTTCAAGTACAAAAAGTACTTATTTTCCAGTATGGCCCATATCAGATTGACAAATATTACATTTTTGTTTTATAGTTATTAATAATGCAATAATGTCAATATTCACTCGGTTAAGGGTGGGGATTATTTAAATGACTTGCTCTTCTGCTGGGTAGTTTAAGCTAGTGATTCATTCGGTGATTTAGACCCCGTTTAGACACAAACGCAAACGAACCAAATACGATATAAAAAATGTCTTCTGTTCACACGAGACTGCTCGAAAGCGCTGGAGACGCTGTAGTACATATGCCGGGCGCTGTACTTCCGCCACAAAATACCGCAAAAGCAGCGAAGAAGACCCCCGAGCATGGTTGTCATGGTTGCCCTTCTGTTTATGCCCCGCGGTGGATTTAGCAACATGTAGTTCATGTAATTCTCCATGTCCACTTGTTGCTGATGGTTGTGTAGAGGAGCTGTAGATTTTGCACTAATATCTGTAGCATGGTCAGTAGCTACTGTCAGTAGCTACTGACCATGCTACAGCAGTGAGCAGCAGAGGTGGGGAGAGGCGGGGCTATTTCATCGTTATCAGAAAATGATCGTATAGGGCGTACACACTGAGCCGTTTGCCCCCCCAGAGCGGTCCGTTTGCAGATCTATCCACCTTAGGACCCGTTATCGTTTGCGGGGTCCGTTTCCGCGTTTTCGTTACGGCCTCGTGTGAACGAACGGGCTATACGAATAAGAAAAGTAGCGGATACAACCGTTTGCGTTCTCGTGGCACCTTATATTCCGTGTATTAAATCCATACTTGCAAAGTAGCTAATTTTGTTAAATGAATGTAGCGGAGTAAAAAATAAAAATATGTAGTAAAGTAAGAGTTTAAAGTAGCGAAAATACTCAAGTGAAGTACAAGTACCTCACAATTGTACTTGAGTAAATGTAGTTACATTCCACCACTGCTCTAGATGGAAACAGTTGGTGTTATCAACCTGTGCCATGCTGCAGGCCTCCACATGTTGTAGCCTGTGTCTTGTGGTCCAGTTCAGGGCAAGGTGACACTGGTTGTTCCTTCACCACAAGCTCCAAAAGTCAAGCTGAGAAAAGCAGTTTTCCTCTCATTGTATTTACTGGTTTGAGCAATTACAAAGCCACAGGAATCCTGAGTGTTTCTGCTTTAAACCTCGGTAGGAGTCTGGATGAGCTCCACTGAAGCAGGCGTTTAGACAGAGCTAAAATAGACCAGCTATTACTGGGACTAGACTTTAAATATATAATCAGTGGCGAGAAGTACATTTACTCAGGTACTGCACGTAAGTCGAATTTTGATTTCCATTGTATGCTACATTTTACTTTTACTCCACTATATTGAGAGTTAAATATTGTATTGTTACTCCGCTACATTAACAAAGTGACTTTGTTGATATGGATTAATGATATAAAACATTATGATCAACACCTGAATAAGACTTTAGTTACACCTGGAGTCAATTCACATGCTAACCAGTATATTTCCACCTTTACCAGCTTTGATAACACTTTAATGATCAATCATTATAAAACATATCATATATATTGTTCTGAAACGGACCAGTCGGCACAATGAGTGCTTTTGGTACTTTAAGTATATTTTGATGATAATACTTTTCTACTTTTACTCGAGTAACATTTTGAATGCAGGACTTTAAACAGAGTATTCCTACACTCTAGTACTTCTACTTTTTACAGTACAATATCTGAGTCTCTTCCACATCTGTATATAATAGTGATAAAAGAGCAAGAAGAGTTTCTCTTTGGGAGTTTCAAATAGCTGTAACTGGATTCTGTCAGATCGTTTGCTCAGAACATTAGGTTTGTGAGGTCTTTCTTGTTTAGGTACATGTGCGCACATGACTAAACATCATAATGATGTACACAATGTGAACATGAATCATCTGCCATACTTATTGCTGGTCTCTCACGAAGATTCCTGCAAAGCAAATGTGAAGTTGTACTCCCACTTTCAGAAATGAAGCCCACAGCCATGTTGGATCTGTGTGTGTGAAACTGCTAATGTGTGTGTGTGAGTTGGCCGTGTGTGAAGAGCTGAATCACTGTCCTAGTGAGCGAGTGTTGCCCCTTGAGCTCCACTGCAGCACCACATCCTTCTATCGTGGTCATAAATATTTAAAACCATTTTGATATAAATGTGGGTCGGCATGTTCCATGTTGTATTCACGTGGAATTTGATGTGGTTTTAAAAATAGAAACTAAAATGTTCTCAAATGATCTGAGTAAGAGTTGATGTTTTTTTTCTTTTTACTGTAAAATGATGATAAATCACAATGACATCTTCTTATTTGGGGATTCCTTTCTTGTCTTTCATCACTTCTCAGCCAAAAGTCCACCAATTTCTTCATGATTAAAAGTTGCATTTGTTTCTTACATTCCTTGATGTAGTTCTTGGTGTTTAAATAACAAAGAGGATATAAGTAGGTAGTGTTTTTTGCACACATTTGTAAGTTCTGAAATCATGCTAAACCCATTGTTCATGTAAAAGACTTGCTTATTATCTGCTGTCACTTTTAGTCAGAACAATGCATGACGACTGTATGACCTTTGGCTGGACATTTCAACCAATGTGTCAACCATGTTTTCTTCACAGATACCCACAATGCTTCAATAGCATAACAATGGCCCCAAACTCACAACAAGCAAAGTTAGCAATGCATCTGAAGTTTAGAGTATTGCGTCTAATCCTTTAAAGCCCTCACTCACAGTCACATGAGACACGTTTAGTGATGTGTGATTTTACCGTTGGGTTTTGCTGAAGAGGAAGGAGAAAGTCCACTACATACATGTTACTGATGGCAGTTGCTGTTTTTTTTCACAAAGATTCCTGTACAGAGGATGGCAGAGTCTACTCCAACAATCAGATCTGGAACCCAGACCCGTGTCATGTGTGTATATGTGAAATGGGGTCTGTGTTTTGCGAGGAGCTGGTGTGTGAGGATCTAGGTGACTGTGACACCACAGAGACCCCTGAGGGCGAGTGCTGCCCCGTGTGCTCGGCCTCAGCACACACTGGAACTGGTAAACTGCACAGCTGCCTGCCAAACTATGTTCTGCTGATGCATCCTGGTTGCTCTCTTCAGCAGCCTCCCAGCCTGAAGCATTGCTCTTCAGACTCCATCCTGAATTAGGTTTTTTTAAACTACAACTCTGTTTTGGAGTTTCCCTTTGACTGTAATGCAATTTGCGAAAGGTATACATTGACTTTTTGACCGATAAGATCCCTTCTCAACCTACTTATGTGCAGCATAAGAGCATTACTGCTACACAAAATGAAGTTGAGCAAGGAACTTATTTACCAAATAAGGTGTATTCCTCTGGGAAACGATCACCTCCTTCGCCATGTTGTTTTACTTTGAATGCACTTTTGATTCTTTTGATTGTCACACGTTTTGGTCTTTGTGCTTGTTGTAAGATGCTTTAAATAAGGGGGCTTTAAACAACTATTTGTACCCTTTCAAAATGGTTGGCATGAAAGTAAGCATGTTATGGTGTGCTGTTACAATTTAAGATCTAAAGAAAACAGTTCAACATATTGTAAATGAAGCTCCAAGACTTTTTTGTTAAGAATTAGATGAAGAAATACCCATTTGAAGGTCTGTATGCTCAATATGAAGCAACAGCCAGGAGGTCATCTGAGCTCCTGCAGCCTTCCTGGTGACTTCATATGTATCATACAAACATGAGTACACTTCTTAACTCTTGGCAAGAAAGCAAGAAAGAGTCAAATGTTGAACTTCTTTTGAATGTCTCGAAGGTGCATTGGTCAGTTGTACACCATCCCAGCAGACACTTAATTAATACATGTTTTTGATTCCTAAAGATACCTGCACAGAATATGGAAAAGTCTACGCCCACAATGACATGTGGAACCCGGAGCCGTGTCGGATCTGTGTGTGCGACATGGGGACCGCTGTGTGTGAAGCCGTGGTGTGTGAGGACCTCAGCGACTGTCACAAAGCTATGACCCTCGAGGGCGAGTGTTGCCCCGTGTGTGTGTCTGCAACGTCGGCCTCATCTCCAAGTGCGGACCCCTCAACAGGTAAACAGATGTCATGCTGTCATGATATTGAGGGATTAGTCAGTGCTCCTTCCCAAATCATCTGTCTTCTCTTCAGTTGCAGATGAGAAGGAAGGAGATAGCTGCACGTTCGAAGAGGACGTCTACAGGCACAACGAGATCTGGAAACCAGCGCCTTGTCGCGTGTGTGTTTGTGACAACGGGGTGGCCATCTGCGACGAGGTGCAGTGTGAGCTGCTCACCAACTGTGAGAAGGTGGTCACGCCTGAGGGGGAGTGCTGCCCCCTGTGTGAAAACTTCGCCAGTGCCGGCCGGAGGATAGGTGAGCTGAGGCAGAAACACTTTGTTCTTAGTTTTGCATAAGGGTAGTCACAATAGTCAGGGCATTTACAATAAGATATACAATACATAATATCTGTTTATAATGTTGTGCAATGTGCAAATGATTCTCCTTACAAGGGATGTACAAGTTCAGTTTATTATAATTAGCCTTACACATTTTTTGTGTAATGCTCATAAAGGTCAGGAAAAACCAGATTCTAACGGGGTGTGACATAACTTTATTCCAAATAATGATTGCAGTAGTTAAAAGCCGGAGACCATGATTCCATTGCATAAATAATTGAGACTGTTAAGATTAGGTTGAAATTTACATTCAATTAACTTTCTCTTTGTATGTTTTGCCCCTAGAACTGATGGGCTACAAGGTAAGTCATCATTCATTCTAAAAATGATTAATGCAAATATATTAAAATAGATATTGCAGTTCATAAGATTAAATGATGTTAATGATTTCTTTATAGGGACAAAAAGGAGAACCAGGTGATATCCCATATGTAAGTCACTACATGCAATTTGAAAAAGTTCCTCATGAAGTGTTTTTTTATTACATATAAAAGCTTTTTTCAGATAAAATAAGGTTTTATTTTTGTGTGTTGCTGTTAACATTTTCTTATGTTTTTTTACTAACAGGTGGTAGGGCTTCCTGGACCTTCAGGACCCTCGGTGGGTTTTTCCTGCTTTTACTCTCCACTAAACCATACAGTTTATATAACTGTATCATATATTTATAATGTGTAGGGTTATATACATGTATTGGAATTGATTGATACAAAAATAGCCATACACTCATTGCGACACTAGAGGGCACCAGAGTGTCATTATAGTGCTTATGATTGGACAAACTGAATGATGTTATAGTTCAACGACTACACGAGGGTTCGTTTACCTGCTTTCTAGGAAGGCCAGAAAAAAGGAACAAACTTATATATATATATACACTTTTCAGTCAATAGATGAATGGTAGTTATCAACACTGTAACGTTTACATTTTATGGCTTTTATGGTTTATAAATCAAGTGTTAAATATTTGTATCTCTCTGTTGTGTTCAGGGTCCTCCAGGAAGTCACGGACGAACTGGACTCAGAGGCTTTAAAGGCAGAAAAGTAAGTCTGAATGGACACGTGTATAGCGTACAGTGCCCTTTCACATAGCTCCTTTAATGCTTTTTAAACAGACAAATATCAGTATGTAAATGTCCGCATGAATGACTGTACAACAAAACAACGCATCCCGTATGGCTGTCAGATGTGACTTTAAGAACATCATGTTGCTTCATTAATGATGTTTCACCCTGCAGGGATTTGAAGGGCCGCAAGGATTTGATGGAGAGCCCGGTGTGCCAGGAAATCCAGGAGGGTCCGGACCCCCAGGCCAGACCTCCCACCCTGGGGTGAGTTTCTTATTAATGAATGTGCATGTTTCATAGAAAAAGAACAAGTGTCTTCTACATTGGTTTACATGTGCTGTATGGTGTGATCATTTCTTTGATCACATTGAATTTAAATCACTTTTCTGGGTGGAAAAATACATCAAAGTCGTCTTCTAAACATTCTGCCTTTCACTGTGTTCTCTGAAGGGCAACCTATTGTCACAGATGGCTTCAGGTTTCGGAGAGAAGTCAAGTCACGCTGGGATGGTATCAGGATCAAGGGTGAGTGGCGCACAGTTGTGAAGGAGATGTATTTTACACATGTGTACAGTTACAAAGTATGCTATGATGTAGCATTTCAACCACAGTTAGTCAAACGTTGCCATTTCAGGGAGAAGCCGGACCTCGAGGACCTTCTGGGATGCCTGGACACCTAGTACGTTCTGGCTTCTTGGCGCTTAAATTACATTTTCTATATTATTATTATAATAATAAGAAATGATGTCGGGACATTTGAAGTGACTTGTATCACCTCCTCTGTTCAGGGCCCAACTGGAGGTCAGGGAATGCCAGGAGATGGTGGAGATCCAGGACCGATGGTAGGGCCATTACCTACATGATATCTTCTATGTGATGCTCATATGCACAGTGTCTATGAGGAGCCATTTCAAACGTGTTTCTGACCAGCAATGATACATCTAAATCAACTTATGTGTGTGTTCACAGGGTGAGCTGGGTCAGCGAGGACAAGACGGGCCTCTGGGGAAATCTGGACCTGATGTGAGTGGAACCTACATGCATCCTCTTCAATCAAGAATATACTCTTCATAATAGTCCGTTTTTTAAGAACTATTCCCGCTTTTTTTAGGGTGAAGGTGGACCTTCAGGTGCTACAGGAGAACCAGGATATCCAGGATCCGTGGTAACCCAGTCTCCCTCAATTCTGACTAAATGCATGCATTATAATATCATTCAGAATCAAGCCTCGATCAAAACAGGGGAGATGTATAGACTTCTTTACTGAATGTGTGTGTGTGTGTGTGTGTGTGTGTGTGTGTGTGTGTGTGTGTGTGTGTGTGTGTGTGTGTGTGTGTGTGTGTGTGTGTGTGTGTGTGTGTGTGTGTGTGTGTGTGTGTGTGTGTGTGTGTGTGTGTGTGTGTGTGTGTGTGTGTGTGTGTGTGGTGTGTGTGTGTGTGTGTGTGTGTGTGTGTGTGTGTGTGTGTGTGTGTGTGTGTGTGTGTGTGTGTGTGTGTGTGTGTGTGTGTACGCAGGGTGGGAGAGGGTTCCCAGGACTTCCAGGTCATCCAGGACTGAAAGGGCTGAAGGTAAGGTCCACAGACCGTGTCTCTTTTACCTCCCTCATCACCGAGCCATGAGTGTTCACTTTTGTCATTGGACCTGCTTACATGTCAGAAACATCCAGAACTCATTCCTGTCTCCAACAGGGACACCTCGGTCTTCTTGGGTCAAAAGGCGAGACTGGAGTGGTTGGAACAAAGGTGTGAATCTGATATTTTGATCCTATCTAATATTGTGGTTCTCAAGGTGGACTATTACAAAAATGAAGAACATGTATTACATTTTGCTGCACTACTGGTTTGAAAACACCTTTTATAATATCAAATAAAAGCCTGCACATTTCAAACCTTTCTTATATGTGTTTCTTTGTGTTTCGCAGGGTAAATCTGGCACTCCTGGTGGAATGGGTGCTCCAGGCCTGCAGGTAGGCAACACATACGACATCTCCTCAGCAGAGCATTGCATACAGAGTGAGGTGTAAGTCATCCAGATGCTGAGCCACTGTTCTGTTTCAGGGACCAGCAGGCCTGCAGGGAGAGAGAGGCCGGGCCGGCCCGTCTGGACCTCTGGTAAGAAAAGCACAGCATCTGGATTTTTGGGGGAAATTAGCAAAAATGTGTTTTGCAAGGGTGAGACATTTTCTTTCTCTTTTAGGGAAAACGTGGTGCCGCCGGCCATGTTGGCAAACCTGGTCCTCTGGTAAGCAGTTATATCTACGGTATAAATGTTTTGTAAAGCCTAATATTTGTGTAACAAAGTTAGTGGCGCTGTCTCTGCCAGAAAAAAAAAAAAAAGGTTCTTTACAATTGTCCCGCACTGAAGCAACTTTAATGCTTTGTTAGTTCTAATAAAGCAAGATAATGCGAAGACTGTGAACAAACCAAGCTGATTTATCTCACAACTCGGTTTTGAATATTTAATAACATGTTCTATTAATACAGGGTCCACTGGGTATCGTTGGTGTTCTAGGATTTCCCGGGAATCCAGGAATGAAGGTAAGATTGTCAAATATTGTCTTTTAGGATTTGGAAAGTTTTCTATTAGATAAATCCATTTGTATTTGAAATTGTTTTGGCTTATTGGAAAATATTACACCGTTTAGTAGATATTGGCAGAATTGGACTCACTGTTATATATTAAACACACATTTACCATCAATTCTGTTCAAAGGATCTGCTGATAAGCGGCTGCTGCACTTGACAGTATAAGAAGTACAGAATGAGTGTTCTGTTTTATCACGTTCGACCTTTGAATTTCATTTAAACGGTTCATCAATTTGATCTGAATCTGTCTATTGCTGCAGGGCGAAGCAGGGCCGACGGGCGTCAGAGGAACTTCGGGGCAGCAGGGTCCCAGAGGGGAATCCGGCCACGTCGGACCTACCGGGCCTTCAGGAGAACAGGTGTGTAACCGGGCTTTAACCAAATGACCAAGACTCATTTACACATTTTATCAAGACAATTTAGAAAACATAGTCTAAGAATAATTGTCTTATACATGAAGTACTGGAGAAGTGTCATGGTGATATCTACAAGTCAAAGAATAACAACCCGTGTGTCTCCCCTTAAAACCCGAATGATGACGTCATTCATTATGAGTTCTTGTTTTACAGGGTGCCGCAGGAACTGATGGAGGTGAAGGTAGCCGCGGCCAAGCAGTAAGTGCACAAGTTCTAGAGGGGCCATTTGAAACACTAGATACCAACTTCAGCCAATGAGGGCAGTCTGTGAATCTGTTGTTTCTTCATTACATCTGTATCTGATGCTTCTCCCCCTCAGGGTCTGGGAGGTGTGCAGGGTCCAGCAGGGCTGAATGGGCAGCCTGGCCCCCCCGGCCCCCAGGGAACGACAGGAGCAGAAGGACCAAAGGGCCAATTGGTATCTTGCTAGTCTTCTTCTCCATATCCATGTCTGTTTGTAACTTTGTAAAGTAAACACACAGGGAGTCTGAATGTTTTCTGATCCTCTTTTAAAGGGCGAAGGTGGACTTCCGGGATTCAAAGGAGACTATGGAGCCAAGGGAGAAAGGGTAACCTGAAAGACACTATACCGACCTTAAAAAGAGCATAACAGTTGATGGTACTGACTGATTATTGATTTTCTGGGTTAGGGTTACCATGGTATTCCAGGTCCAATCGGCCCGACGGGAGATGAAGGAAAGCGTGGATCCCGAGGTGACGCTGGAGACCTCGGGCCTATCGGACCTACAGGAGAAGCAGTGAGTTAACCTTTACTTTATTTCGAGATCTTTTTTTTTTAAGATCAAGTTTCATGATCTCAAGGTGTGAAATATATTTGAAGGTTCAATCTTGAAACTATTTGTTCTAGGGAACTCCAGGAAGTCGAGGTTTCCCAGGGTCAGATGGTTTACCTGGCCAAAAGGTGAGTTTTATTTGAGATCAAAATGCAAATAATGGCCGGATTTACTTCTACTATTTAATAACCATGAATTTCAACCAAACAGGGAGCAACGGGCGAGAGAGGACTGTCAGGGTCGCTCGGAGCCAAAGGGTTAGATGGAGATGTCGGACGTAATGGAGAGCCAGGTTTAACAGGAGCTCGGGTAAAGCAGAAATATTTAGTTATTGTATTTCTCTTGTGTTTGCTGGCCTTGAGCAGTTTTACTTTTCACCTTGCTACAGTGAACAGGAAGCGACTGCTAGGTGTGTCGGTCTCAAATGGGTTTTTTTCTTACGTTTTTGTCCCCTAAAATGTATATTTCGAAAATGGAGAAAACGGATCTTAAACCGCAAAATGAATGTACATAACATGTAATAATGAATCCCAGGAATCCTGTTCTCAGTCTAGATATTACTGTGCATTTATAGAAAATGTATTTCTGAGAATGCTGCATTTCAAGAGTTTCTTTAGGTTCATCTGTAACTGTGTGTCTGATTTCACAGGGTCTCACAGGACTTATTGGCGCCCAGGGTCCAGAGGGAAAACAAGGACCAATGGTACGCAAGTGTTTTTATTTTAATCACATATTAAAGATTCACTACAAACCGAACCAATGACCGAAACTATGCCAAGTACTAACATGTCTTCTGTTTTCCCCAGGGCTTAGCAGGAGATGATGGTAAACCGGGCCCAGCTGGTTCTGTTGGAAACCGAGGTGGATCTGGACCAATGGGCCTGCCCGGACCCAAAGGCTTTGCTGTCAGTGTTGGTTTATGCTCCACTTTAATATACTGTATGTAATCCGATATGTTGATGAGGCGGTTTCTGACTTCTGTTATTCCTGATTTTAGGGTGATGCTGGAAAGATTGGCGAGGCTGGCAGCGCCGGGGCTCCAGGTCAAAGGGCAAGTTATCTTCACTTCATATAATACCATTTCAATTAAATCAGAACAAATGTACTAATGATCATCTTTCTTCTAGGGGGTGAATGGAAAAGACGGAGAGGAAGGCGCTGCGGGTCCAGCTGGCCCTGCTGTAAGCGTCTAACATCAGTCATCAGTGATTTGATAACATGACGTTTGACTTATTTGACATCACTCTTGCTTTTCTCCAGGGTGTCGCAGGAACGAGAGGAGAGCATGGCTCACAGGGACTGCACGGTTTCCAGGTACACTGCATTCCCAACAAACACATGTCTTTTTGAGTTTGTAACTGTTTCTTATGATTCATTACATAATGATTTGGTTGGGTGTTTTGTAGGGTTTGCCTGGAGGGCCAGGATCACCTGGAGAGTCTGGGAAACCAGGCGCTGAGGTATGACACAACTAAACAGCTTTTTTGTGCTAACTTTTCAAATCTTTCTCATTGACCCCGAAAATGATCTGATCAACATTGATGTGTCCTCTGTAAACATATATGTAGTTCTCCTTTCCGTATCACTCTAAACATTTCGTGTTTGTTCCAGGGTATGGCTGGAGAGGTTGGTGCTAGTGGACCTACAGGTGCAAGGGTAAGTCCCTTTCTGCTCTCACTGATTACAGGTTGAGTCAAACAAGTGTTGCATACTGTAATCCCCTGTTTGCCCATGCAGGGAGAAAGAGGCGCTCCAGGAGGGAGAGGTGAAGTCGGGCCCAACGGGCTGAACGGACCCAAAGGAGGTCCAGGTGGACCGGGATCAGATGGGCCAAAGGTGAAAACCATGGACTGAAACTCTACATCTATATGTTCTGTGTTTGTGAATGGTGTTTATAATAAGTGTCACATTTCAGGGTAGCATTGGTTCAAAGGGTGCTGTTGGAGAGGCAGGAGGACCAGGACTTCAGGGCATGCCCGGAGAGAGAGGCTTAAATGGACCTTCAGGCCCAAAAGGAGATGCAGTAAGTCGACTACTGAAGTGGAGTACACATATCTGCTTCTAATGTCTCTGTCTCTGAGTCCGAGCAAGTTCTTGGTGGGGTGGTCGAATGTTGTTTGGGAAATGTGGGACTAAGGAGAGGAAGCGTCTCCTAAAAGCATTTTGAATCTGAGGCACTGATGAGGCTCTCCTTACAGGGCTCTAATGGAGAGGCAGGACTGGAAGGTAAAGCCGGAGCTGACGGTGGACGGGTGAGAAGCCAGTACTTTGTGGCCAAATATTGAACCTGATGAAACTATGAACATCAGACCATGCACCATCATCAGTTGAGTTATAGTTTGGGTAATGTGCCATGGTAAATGTATGTTTTCATTTGATCAAAAGGGGCTTCCTGGTCCTGTTGGACCTCCTGGTTCCGGCGGACCCAACGGAGAGAAGGTGAGCTCCAAATCCTACATTCTCACATTATTTAAACTCAAAGATTTCATTGTGTTAAAAATAAACTACAAAATCCCAAAAGTAAATAGAAAATATTGTTCATAGTTTGTATTTTCCCCTTTAGAACTCATAGTTTGTATTTTCCCCTTTAGAACTCATAGTTTGTATTTTCCTCTTTAGAACTCATAGTTTGTATTTTCCCCTTTAGAACTCATAGTTTGTATTTTCCCCTTTAGAACTCATAGTTTGTATTTTCCTCTTTAGAACTCATAGTTTGTATTTTCCTCTTTAGAACTCATAGTTTGTATTTTCCCCTTTAGAACTCATAGTTTGTATTTTCCCCTTTAGAACTCATAGTTTGTATTTTCCCCTTTAGAACTCATAGTTTGTATTTTCCCCTTTAGAACTCATAGTTTGTATTTTCCCCTTTAGAACTCATAGTTTGTATTTTCCCCTTTAGAACTCATAGTTTGTATTTTCCCCTTTAGAACTCATAGTTTGTATTTTCCTCTTTAGAACTCATAGTTTGTATTTTCCCCTTTAGAACTCATAGTTTGTATTTTCCCCTTTAGAACTCATAGTTTGTATTTTCCCCTTTAGAACTCATAGTTTGTAAAGAACTGATTAGGAATCAAATCAGTATGAGGGTAAAAAGTCAAACTAGTATTTAAATGAAATGCCAGTTCTGTGAGCATCCATGCATCGGCTATCAGGCTAATCTACACAGCTACATGTGTGTGGGCTGAATATGAACTTAAAGCTATCTCCTTAAAAGCTCCAATCTGTCAAAAATGTAGGAAAATTATCCTCAGGTTTTAATAACTTTTAAAATGTCACTAAATGTATATTTCTTTAATGTCAGGGTGAGACCGGCCCCCCAGGACCCGGGGGACGCAGAGGCACCAGAGGAATCCCTGTCAGTGGAACACTTTTTTATAAATCGATCAAACATTTCTTGAAAGGTGTGTGTTTTTTCTTCTTCTTGACAATATGTGTGTGTTGTTATACGAACAGGGTTCTACTGGTGATCTTGGTCCAACCGGTGCTGTTGGCTTCCCCGGTACTTCCGTAAGTGGCCGCTGAAAGAGGGCAGTTTCCTCCAAAATACACCCGTAAACAAAAAGAAACCCATAAAGATCCATTTCCTGTTTCTGTCCCAGGGCGTAGATGGTCAGCCAGGGGTCAAAGGTGAGACAGGAGAGCCTGGTCTGAATGGAGAGGGAGGTTCACCTGGACCACAGGGGATGGCTGGGAAATCTGGAGGACAGGTACGAACATTTACCTGTGTAAAAAAAAAGAAAAGTGAACGATTGAACCACTCCCTTCACACTGCTCCTCGTGTTTCAGGGACCTGTCGGTGTGACTGGACTGAAAGGTGGCCGAGGGACGCAAGGTCAAACTGTAAGTGAGCCTCTCCTTGTGTTCATCCCTTCAGTGGAACAACACCTTCATGATGTCTTTGCTTCAGAGAATGTTTCGATGTGCCACCATTCTGTTATGATCATTGAAGTAGATCTTATTTCAAGTGTTTTCTCCCCGCAGGGCTCTCCTGGTTTTCCTGGACTAGCCGGAGGAATTGGAACAGCTGGCTCTGCTGTGAGTTAATAAGTTATAAGGATATAAACAATTATCACTTCAAATCAATATGTGTGTTAAATCATGCTGCCAGTATTATAAATGACAGATGTAGAAAGAATGAATACATTCAAACTAAAAGCAAAGGGCCTTTAAATCAAAATGTGCATTGAGCAAAGGACACGTGTGTTTCAGGGTGCTGTCGGGGCAGACGGGCCTATAGGCGCCACAGGAAAGCAGGGTCCTTCTGGGATCATCGGGGATAACGGAGCTCAAGGGCGTCAAGGGGAGAGGGGGACTACAGGGGCCCCCGGCAGCGCAGGAGAGAAGGCAGACTCCGGAGAGGACGGCCCTGGGGTGAGAGGATCGTTCAGCTCATAGTTCAGGCTGCGCTGTACAGAAATAAACCCTGAGGTGTTTCAACTGCTTGTCTGTTCTTATGATTATCTCTCAGGGGCCGGATGGGCCTCCAGGACCTGCTGGGGCCTCAGGACAGCGAGGCATTGTGGGTCAGCCCGGACTGAGAGGAGAGGCGGGCATGCTGGGACTCCCCGGTCCTGCTGTAAGTGTTGCTTCTGACAGAGTTTTACACAAATAAAGTATGTCTGGCTTTGAAATGTGTCGATGAAATGTTCCAATTTGAGATTCGATGGCTTTATTGTAATATGCAAGATAATGCAGTGATACAATGGTGTGAGTTCAAGTGCAGGACAAGGAGATCAAGATGAATGAAATACTGTAGAGTCTAGTGCTCTTGGTGATTTTGACTAATTCTTATTTTCTGCTCAGGGTCCACCTGGAAAAGCTGGAGCTTCTGGAGTTCAGGGCGGCAAGGGGCCCGCAGGTGGAGTCGGTTTGCCAGGAGCCAACGGGGCGCGAGGAGACGCTGGCCCCGAGGTTGGTCAATCCATCTGTCCTCTTTTGAAAGTTTCTCAATTTTAGCACCTTTTGATTATTTGGTATTTATATTTCTCCAGAAATCCAAGCCAAAGAATCTCAATAACTGTAACACATATCAGATTGTTAATAACGTAAGCAAATGACTAACATATATATTTTACAGGATATATGCTCTTAATATGACAGCAACCAAAACCAGCAAATAATAGTGACAAAACTGAATATTTTGATAATAGCTAAACTAAATGAAAACTTCACTTGAAATGTTCCAGAGAGTTTATCATGTCCTTATCTGTTCTTTAGGGTATCTCAGGAGCAGAGGGGTCTCCAGGGAAGGACGGTCTTTTAGGGGAGAGGGTAAGATGACATTCAGTGTCTGTGTCGTTGGACCTGAGGAGCGTATGGTACCATACAGCTGTGTGTACTAACCACGTGTGTGTGTGTGTGTGTGTGTGTGTGTGTGTGTGTGTGTGTGTGTGTGTGTGTGTGTGTGTGTGTGTGTGTGTGTGTGTGTGTGTGTGTGTGTGTGTGTGTGTGTGTGTGTGTGTGTGTGTGTGTGTGTGTGTGTGTGTGTGTGTGTGTGTGTGTGTGTGTGTGTGTGTGTGTGTGTGTGTGTGTGTGTGTGTGTGCAGGGAGATCGGGGTAATCCTGGTCAAGAGGGTCTGGCAGGAGTTGGTGGGTCTCCAGGAACCGAGGGTCCTGTGGGAATGACGGGCGGTCCTGGACAAAGAGGCGACAACGTGAGTTTCAAAAACACAAGTGAACTACTTAGAATCTAATATGTGGTATATTAGATTCTAAGTAGGGGTGTTGCATATACACGTACTGATAACAACCACAATATTTTAAAACATGTTAATAAAACGCATACTGTTAAACATTTGACTGATTCATTAGTTTTTCTATACATATCCTTATCTTACAAATAGGGTGCAGTGAAACTCTGACAGGATGCAACCCCAATGCTACGTGTCTAAAATACATATAAAAAGCTCTGGTGTTCCGATCGCTCCGTCATGTTGGTTTGTTTGTTTTGAGCTCAGGGTGGCAGAGGACCCCCTGGATCCCAAGGAGCAGCTGGAATACGGGGAAAAGTGGTAAGCAAGAAATGAGAATCTCCCAAGAAAACATCAATTGAACTATCTAAACCCTGTGTTAAACCTTCTATTGACAATTGTGATCATGTGTCTGGGTGAAGGGCCCTCAAGGACCACAGGGGGAGCAAGGAGTTACCGGACAACATGGAGAGAGGGGACAGAAAGGACACAGAGGCTTCACCGGGCTCGATGGTTTGCCAGGAACAACTGTAAGCAACATGTTTATCATGAAGGCAACCTCAGATCATGTTCTTCTGGAGGCTCGCCTTCTGAAACTTGAGCCACAAGGGGGCAGTATAGAGAGGAGTGCAGTAAGCTCTGAAGAGGTTCACCTTAACCTTATCTGAACACCAAGAGAATGTTCTAGCCAACATGTTAGCTTGTGTGTATAAGACACGCCGCTGTCTATACACGTCATCATCATCATCATCCATTTCACCTGTGATGATGTGTGTGTAAAGATTTCAGTTGATTACATTTCACTTTTTTGTTTCAGGGCGCTACAGGGGAGCCTGGATCAAGGGGTGTTGTTGGACCCGCGGGGCCCAGGGTGGGTGTTTAATGGCACCATGCAGTTACATTTGCAATCGAGAGCAAGTGCAGGTCTTATTTTAAAGTGTTCAATTCTCTCTCTAGGGGCCTCCAGGAGTGTCAGGGCCTCCAGGAAAAGAAGGAAACATCGGACAGCCTGGACCAATGGGGGCTCCTGGAAGCAGAGGCTCCAGTGGAGAACTCGGGGCCCAGGTGACACATTTTCATATTCCATATATCAGCCTATTGGTATTATCTTTACAGAGGTACAGTGAGTATAACGGTATGATATTAGTCAAAGATGAACATTTATTGGAGTGTTTTGAGATATAACATTTTTCCAACATGTCCCAAAATAATAAAGAATATAAAAAACTTGCAACATGTAAGATCATAATAGGTAAATGTGATAAAACAGCAATAGGTTACAACAGTAAAGACAGCGGACAGTGCAATTGACTTCATATCTTAACTTCATATTTATCATTTCTCTGTCAGGGTCCTCCTGGTGACAGTGGACCTTCTGGCCTCCCAGGACCACCAGGTCCCCCCACCTCAGCTATGGAAAACCTCTTCGCTGCTCACTACGACTACGACGGGAAGGGTGGTGTTCCAGAAGCTCTGGAATTCGTGGAGGACGACGTGGCTGCCTTTGCCCCTCTCCTCCCAGAGATCAATAGAGACGAAGCCCTCCCCAATAAGAAGTCAGCCCTCCTGCGCTCAGACACCGGGGTCCAGGCCTCGCTGAAGACCCTCAGCGGACATCTGCAAAACCTCCGTCGTCCTGACGGCAGCGAGGGGAACCCTGCCAAAACCTGCCAGGACATCAAGCAGTGCTACCCCCAGAAGCCCAGCGGTGAGGGTCCCGTTTACTGCTTACATCTTATTTTCAGTGTTGACCTGTAGTTGTGTTATACAAAACATTACGCCCATAATATTCACTCTGGGCTGCAGAATGGACACCCAGGGTGAGTTTTGTTTCCTAAATAGAGAATCAATCAGGATTAAGGACAACACATTTGAACAAAAAATATAAATAACAGTATATTTATCTTTTTGAGTAAAGCATGTATGTTTGCTTCACTATGTGTTAAATATAAACGCATGCATGACATCGATTTACTCTCCAATCTTGTCCTGCCTATTTCTATTTCTTGTATTGATGCCATATATGTACTAAAACCTATATCTGTGACCCCGTGTGTCCTACAGGTGAGTACTGGATTGATCCAAATCAAGGAAGCACAAAGGATGCTATCAAGGTCTTCTGTAATATGGAAACTGGGGAAACCTGCATCTCTGCAAACCCTGCTGAGATTCCCCGCAAAGCCTGGTGGACCAAATCCAGCCCCAGCAGCAACAAACCCGTCTGGTTTGGAGCTGACATCAGTGGGACCAGAGTAAGACATTAAGAGATGTGCTTTGTTGCTTTCCTACCAACCCTTATCAACTATACAAACCTTAAGTTGCCCTGGTTGTAATCATCAAATGTACATCTGATTTCAGTTCCGCTACGGAAATAACGAGGAGAAGCCCAACGCCATGGCCGTTCAGCTGAAGCTGCTGCAGCTTTTGTCCAAAGAGTCTCACCAGAGCATCACCTACCACTGCAGGAACAGCGTGGCGTACAAAGACGAGAAGACCACCAACCTGAAGAAAGCTCTGGTCCTCCGAGGCTCCAACGGCCAGGAGCTGAGAGCGCAGGGAAACATCCGCCTCCGATACACCGTCACCGAGGACGGCTGCTCGGTGAGACATCCAGCGGCCATTACTCGGGATACGATTAGAAATGCGGCGAAAGCCTGAAATGATGGCAGCACGGATTGAGATCATCTGTCCAACTCTGTCTTTACCACACTGCCAGAGCCCATACCGTGTTCCCCTTAGTGTTTACTTCCTGTCTTCTTTGAACCTCTTTCCTTCTCAGGCTTTCTTGTTCTCTTTTCTTTTCACTTCTTGGAACAGTTCAGCCATCATGAATCCAAAGTTTGAAGCTCCCCACAGATATGAAAATGAATATTCACAAAGCACGCCGTGGTGTTTCCCAAATGGAGAAAGCTAGCTTTTTGCAACAGCTAACGTTGAATTAAACAGACTTTTTTATGGTCTATTGACAAACAGAAGACTGCTGAATATCCAAATCGACCAATCAGAATGTATTTAACTAAGCCTTGTAATAACGTAGAATGACTAGATTCAATGTATTCTGATTGCAAGAAGCCTTCCACTGATATCACCTGTCTTTCTTTGCCCTCAGAAATCAAACGGGCAGTGGGGGAAGACAGTGATCGAGTTCAGGACTCTAACTGCTGCCCGCCTGCCCGTGGTGGACGTGGCCCCCATGGACATAGGAAAGCCTGATCAGGAGTTCGGCCTGGACATCGGCCCTGTGTGTTTCTCATAAAACAACACAAGATGGACAGAAATAGGCTTTTTCTAGAGGAGTAACATCACCAGAAGATGAAAGAATAAGGACTTGTCTTTCTGTGAGCGAACACGTCGATGAAGGGTAGCTTCTTGTACACATGGCTGCGTTTCCCAAAAGTCATTAAAGGTCAGTGTACTCACTCTATGACCGACAGGAAGCTGACGTAATTTATTCACCTTGTTAATACATGTACTACAGAGCACCAGTACTACAGGGAAATGCATGTGGGAGGACAAGTGAAGTCTAAAGGTGCTGACATGAAACAAAACAAGATGTTATTGAATTGTGCATAAACTGGAGAAAAAAGCCAACAATATTAAAGACATGTTTAAAGCAGAATGCATAAGTGTTTATAGCAAAAATAAAAGTGTTCAAACCTTATTAATTTGGCTTTTTTCCAGTAAGTGCACACCGGAGGTCTGAAAAGGGAAAGAGTTAATAAAGAAGTGACTGTAGTTATTAATTTTAATAGTATAAACAATGAAGAACATGTTTGAACCTAATTTATTAAGTTCTGTGCAGGAACCTATTACACTTTAAACAGAAAACCTTCATATTTCATTATAACATTTCAACTGTAAATGCAACATATGACTGTAAATTACAAATGATTTGTTTGTTGTTGACTATGGATGTGGAATAAATGTATGTATTTGGAATGACTGGAAGACATTCCCAGCAAAACCAAAGCCAGAAAAGTTGAATAAACATTTGTTTCCCCGTAAAGAAGAAGAACATTTCGCTTTAAATGAACTCAGAAATGACAGAAATATAACCTTTTGACCACAAGAGGGCGACAAAGCTTTTCTTTACAGTGATCGGCCATCCCAGGAGAGAAATAACAACCATCAAGAAGGAAACTAGTACATTTGTCTCATGAAACATTCAAACAAATTGTAGTTATGACCCTAACCCATGACATTTTGATAACATTTAATCTGCATCCACCCTCATTTAAAACAAATAAACACACTAGGCGCTTAAAAAGGTGTCTTTGCTGAATGCAGATGGGTGTGTGGTGAAATGAGAAGGGAGGGAAAAGAGCCAAAGAGAGAGAAGGCGTTCTTACAGGAAGAATGAAAGTCAAAGTTCAGGCAGCACATGTTCCTGGGTCGACCTCTCCTCTCTGCGCTCGCTGAAAGACGTGACACTCTCACCGTTTCCTGCAGCCTCGCTCCACATCTGTGAGCCGCTCATTTTTAGCCAGGGCCCGCTATTTTCATTTTTAGCCTGAAACATTAGGAAAGATTGAAGTGGAGCAGGTTGAAGGAATCTGAACTGTGCCTAACCCTAACCCTAACCCTAATGAACAGATTTACACACTTCAGACCTTAACCACGCTTTTCACTGGAAGTCCATTTCAATGATTTCAATATGTCTCAGGTGACTGCAGAATGTCACGGCTAAGATGAACCATACTGCTGTTATTTTATACTATTAATAATGTCACTGTGGGATTTATGTTGCTTTTTTACATCAAACAATATACATAAGAGGCTGCAGCCATCTTAGTTTGGCAGCGAAGCGGTCGCTGGTTTTGCAAATGATTTGTCACAAGACAATGCACACATTTTCTAGGGACGTGACCAGTTAGATAAGACCCTCACTCCTCTATCTCCCCTCACTTTCCAACCGTGAAATCTGTTTGAAAGCCTGATGGAGTTTGATTCTAGTTCGGCGTTAATCTGAGTCAACGTGAAGTGATTCTGCTTCACACAAACGTTGACCGTTGGAGTCTACGACCCCGATACGATTTGGCAGCGACGCCCAGATCCTGGCTGGGGTGTCTCTTGTTCGCCGAGGAGCCTCCATGAGATTTCCCAGCTACTCCTTTCCTTCCTGTGCCCCCTCCAACCCCACCTCACTGACGCCCCTCCAAACACTTAAAGAATCATGAGAACCACTAGAGGCCTGCAAGGGCTGAAAGCATGGAATTATGGGAAAGTATTAACATTGTTCACCTTTTATTAAAGTAAGCAGTGCATTGAGGGAGTGTGTTGTAAATTCTCAAGAATGCATAGCCACTTGCATGTAAAATGATTTGTATTTTTTCTACAAATGTCCATATCCAAAAGTTAAATTAAATCAGATTCCCACACACTTCCTCATAAGGGAAGTGGGCCGCTTTAACATCCCACCTTTCCCAGATCCTGGGAGGAGCATGTGCCTGGTGGCAGGGGGGGGGGGGTGTGTGTGTGGGGGGGGGGAGAACAATGGCAGGAAACTGGGAGAGGAGCGAGGGAGTTCCTGTTGGCATCAGGCTGCTGAAGACGAGAGCAGAGCCCCCCCCCCACGCGGTAGGAACTGGGCTCTTTAACACTGTTATAAGTTTATTGTTTGAGAAATGTCTGACGGGTGGAAGGGCGGGATGTCTTAGATGTCCTGGAAAAATAAAAGAAAGGAGAATACTTACAGTTCCCCATGGCTATCTGGTCCCTTTCACACCTGGCCTTGTGGATAATAAGTATATGTATTATACCTAATAGACCCGCATCAAACAAAGGAAAACATTTTAAAAGATGTAACTTCATTAAAACTTAAATTGATATGTGTTTGCCGACTTTTTTTCCACCGGCACTACGATAAAAGTTGCAAAAAAGTCAATTGCTGAGACAGTGCACACCAGAAATGATCCTGTAATATGAGACACTTTAAAAGATCAAATCAGTTCTTTAAATGTTAATGATTTATTTAAACTATTTCTCCTTGGTTCGTCAATAATAATGTTGCAAACAAGTGAGATCTGGAAGGGTTATGCAGCCCAAACAATCGAAATGATGCTAAAATAGAAGACCCTTTAAAATCTCTGATGATATCAAACTGAGGCTTCTTTCTGTTTCTTTCAATATGAATGCATCTGGGTTGAAAGGTGGTGACATCTGGCCCACAGCTGCCAGAAAGAAAATGAAAGAACACTATGGTGGAATTGAACCATCCACCCGATGAATTCTTCTGATCATGACGCCCCTCCAGAAACACCACAGCAGTGAAGCTACCAGACGTCCAAGTGTTGACATCACTCGGATCAGTCCTGACCCCGCCGCGGCGCTCTGAACGGGCCGTGCAGCGAGCGGCAGACTTCCTGCGGTCCCACCCAGACCCGGGTCACATCACACAGCCGGGCCACATTGCTCACCCTAACCCCTGTACTGGACGCCCTCCACACCCTCCACCACGGCCAAGAACTCCTTCCATTGTTCTCCAGAGTGAGACATCCCCATGCTCAAGTGGTCTCATCGCGCTATGAGTATGTGTGTGGCAGAGCATTGTTTTCTGAAATGTAAATGTTTTAATTAACGGGATTTACTGGAAAGTGTAGTCATTCTTCCTTCGAAAAGGATCTGTGTTTAACTTTATGATTAACTAATGAAGATTTAATGTTAATTTTCTTATTTTTTGTAAGCGATGTGCAGCACTTCCCACAAACCTCCATGTAATCAAACCATGTCATGATGTATTGACCTTCTCTACGTATGATCTGTTTCTGAAGGGTTTACTGGTTGTTATTTGGCTCTTTGCATTCCTAGAATACCACTTCTGCTGTTGCTGGAAAGGTGAAATGAATCATATCTTGTGCATTAAAAGGTGTTTGGTAAGATGCTTTATTATAATTTGGAAATGACCTTTGAATGTCCCAAAATCTAATCTTAACCCCATATTTATGCTGTATACTAAATGTAATATAGTCTTTAATGAAGTCCTTATACATACACACTGATTTGTACCTTCTGTTCTGCAACACGATTTAAAATTGCAGAAGAAAGTGTGAAATTGAAATGTTTAACACTGTCACACAAAAACGAAATCCTTGTGTATATTTCTGCTTTGGGACAGACTGAGCTCCTCAGGAATGGTACATGTAATATTGAGTCACTTTTTGTTGGATACTCAAGGGAAAATTACTCCAAAAAAAGTTCGTCAGCCAAATTAAAGCAAATTGATTTACGCGGTTGTTTTCTACAATTTCTTGTGCAGCTTTGGTGTGGGTTTGTCTACATGTTCATGTGGCTCCATTTAGTCCTTTCCTGTGGAAATGTCCCTGAGAAATACCTAGAATGTAGCATGATGGAAATACATCCAAAACATCGGCTAAAGGCTTTAGGATTCAGTGGAAGCATGCGGAAGTGAAAGCAGTAAACAAGTTAGTCATGAGACTGAGGAAGTGTTTGCTACCAGCACGCAAGAGCCGACAGACCAACAGTTCAATGGAAATGTATTCTTAGAAACAGGAAGCCTGCAATACATCCACTGCTCTGATTTCCACTGAGGTAAATAAAAAGGGGGGTGGGACTGGTGTTGTGATAGGTAAACAACAGCAACATCTTGAGATCTGTTACATGTGGATTTCTATCATTCTAAAGGAACCACACAGGTCACCATCTTTCATATATGGTGTTACAGGATGCATGCTAAAAGTTGTATTGTAAACATGACACATGTTTAGTGTTCTGCACACGGGATCCTTTGGGACTGAGATCATGAAAAGCATGCAATATAGCTTGTAAATATCCCCTACAATGACAAACCCTCACACACATGCTTTTGATCATGGTGGCTCCGCAGACAGACACAATGAAAGTGGCACGCTAAGTGCTTTTGCAGCGTCTCTTTTGCATTTGATAAACGGTGCAGTGAAAGAATACATATAGCCCTTTTCCTCTGGGACTTCCTAATTGCACCTGGTCGCATAAAGGATTCTGGACGAGGAACAGACAGCAGCACGCCCTGCTTTGTCTGGAAACAATATTCATTTGAGTGGGTAACGTTTTCTAAGGTCACACAAGGAAATCCCACCCTCAATTAAATGATGTGGGAAAGAAAACAGTTAGATCTTTTATTTCATTTGTCTATGAAGACATTAAGGGAGGAAAAACAAAGGCAGTGACTCTTTGTTTCTGAATCTCAGTTTAAAACAGCTTGTTTTTATTTACAGCATTATTTCTCCAGTATTAACAAGCATTTATTGACAGAACTATGTTACAACATGAAATGAGTAGAATGATTGTGTGCATGGGAAAACACACATCTGTGATTCAAACGATTTATTTAGAATATTTTAGATAATATATGTCCTTCTCCTTTCAAAGTTGCCTATGTTAATACAAGCCCTATTATTATTGAGATTCTGTGCGTAGAAAACCCAAGCTATATTCTTTTTACGTGTGTTTTTTTGAAGAAATCGCTTTCTCTTTATGCTATGCTAAGCTAACAAAGCATACTCAATGTGAAATGGACGTCATTTATACAGCGCTTTTCCAGACTTTCAGACCCCTCAAAGCTTTGAAATTGTTCTAAATCATTATAGTACATTATAGTAACTCGTTTTTTAGCATTATAAAATATTCAGTGCTTCAGATTTAAAGGTTTAGTTTCCGCTCTTTATGCTAAGCTAAGCTAAGCACATTCTTACTGAACAGACATCAGTCAGAGTGGTTTTGATCTTCTCATCCAAACCTCGTCAAGGAAGTGAAAAAGTGTATTTCCTGTTTTGAAAGGCTGAAACCAGCAGCTCTTCACTCGACAGGAAAGTAACATTGTATTTTACTGAAGGTGACTAACTTTATCTTATCAGTCAATCAACATGTCAGTTCCTGCTGAATTCTTTCTCACTACAGTGATTAACCAGTTGCAGTCTGTGGACAAACATAACATAAGTACTGTACAATGATGTGTTCTTAGCTGACTAAGTATAAACAGTTCACTAAAGGCTTCATATTTTGTGCCTCCATATGTCATATTCATAGAGAACACAAGACATTTTCTTCATCAGATATTAGGCAGGAACAGTGAGCCTGACTTATCTTCTAAGACCTTATACATAAATAGAAAACTCTGAGTTGCATGCATTTAATTAAAAGTAGTTAAAAAGCAGGAATGACATTTAGCTAGCAAGCTAATTATTTGCTCTATTTTTGCGTTTGTACTTTTTGGTGTAGTTCTGTATAGTCTAACAACAAAAAGCATGCTACTTATTTTACTTTTCTTGACTGATTGGCATTAAGTTTCCCTTTCCAACTTATTTTTTGCTATTTCCAGTGCGCCATTATGCTAGCTCCTGCTAACTCTTGCTATCAAGAGATGAGTTGTGAAAACAGGGTTTTCGTGCATCACCTTTCCACAGCACCAACCACCCATTTTAAAATGGTATCTTCAAGTTAATCCACACGATGGAAAAAAGCATTAAATCCTTAAGTTAATGCAGTGACACCGTTAGATTCAGGGGGTCTTCCTTTTGTCCGGCAATGGGTCCTTTGAATATTTGTATGGTGTCCTTCTGTTTTGGTAATATTTGTGAAAAAGGGTAAACATTTTTTAGTTTTTCTGGCTGAGAGATTTAAAAACAACCACAAAGTTTGTATTCATCTCCCATGAACAGTAGTAACACTCCAAGAAGACGCCAATCTTGGTAACATCGTGGTAGAGGTCAACGAAACGGTGTCTCACGTGTCTCCTTCACACGAAAGGGCTGTCCGATCTGAAGATGTCTGAGTAGCTCTTTCCGTTCATGTGCTCGGTGTGGCTCTCGATGCTGTAGCAGCGGTGGACCTCTGTGAGCGACGACGCCACGTAGGAGGCCGAGCGGAAGAAGTCGGCGTTGGCAAACGTGCCGGAAAACTGCATCCGCTGCTGGTTCCAATTCCTCCGCAGAACGCTCTGAACCTGCAGGAAGAGGCGCAGAAGAAGGCGGTCAAAGATTGCACTATTCACATTCGATTTTATCTTTAGGAAAACATTAAGCAAAGACCATCTATAATGCATTTTTGGTGCATTCATATCCATCATTGAAGCGTCCATCTAGGCATGTAGCCAGTATTAAAGGTCACCTATTATGCAAAATGCACTTTTTGATGTCTTTTTAAATAAATATGTGTCCCCGGTGTGTAAGCAGACTCAGAAAGTGTCCGAAAATACAACCCTCTCTCTTTTCCTCCGTACCCACATCTCTAAAAACGGGGGTACAACGGAGCTGATCCAGATTTGCTGCGGTCATGACGACATTACAAAAAATGTGGGCTGGCTTTACGCCCACGGCCTTATCGTCCCCTATCAGAAACGTCGCTGTATCAGAAACGATGTGCAACGTGTTTTGGAAGTAATATGGTCTGTGTTTACATTAGCAAGCATAGCTAACAATCAGAGCTAACCTGTACTGGAGAGAATATGCGTAAAGAAGCCAGATATAAAAGGTTGTGGTAAACCCGCGGGAGAGAAAGCGTTTGAGCTCCATACTGTTTCAGAAATAATCCTTGATGTGGTTTGGAACATAATATGGCTTTTAATCATGGCAGCGTTTAGCTGAGTTTCTGCTGAGTAGACAGCCTTCTCTTCACAGAGCTCAATGATTGCATGCTCCAAAGGGGCGTGGCCAGCAGCAGCTTGGTTACATTTAAAGGGCCAGACACAGAACCAGCACTTTAGTAACATGGCTGAAATAAAGGGGTATGAGGCATGCTACAATGGGTGATCTGTTTGGTATTTTGAGCAAAACACTTCAAATACATGTTTTGTAAAGATATGGCCCTATAATATATTGTTCAAATATAGCATAATAGGTGACCTTTAAGGTCACGGAGGTCATCTCCTCTTTTATATTCCATTTCAAGCTTGTGTATGTGATATAAACACAACAAATGTTACACAGCATCGGACAAATGTAATGCTGAATCAAGCTCAATACTCACCTCTCCGTTGAAGAAGCAGAAAATTGTAGAAACCAAGAGACCCTGCAAAAATACACAAGATCCCTTAAACCACATATTCATGCTCTTATTCTAGAAAGGTCACTTTTAACAATAGTATTATTGAGGATATTGCCGTTGGACAGTTATGCAACAAGAGCATGGATTGTTATATAATGCACTAGTGATTTTTATTGGCACAATTACCTGGTAGTGCATGAGGATCTCCATGACGTACAGGTAGATCTCAGAGACCCAGTGATCTTGGGGCTTGTAGGGGAGCAGCACGAACTGGATGCCGAGGAGGGGGATGAGGATGAGTGTTGCTCTCACCGCCCGCATGTAGAGGCTGGACTCGGCCTGATGCGTCACTCTCAGCTTTGTGATAAGAACCCGAACGATGTTCAGCAGGAAGAAAAGATTCACCTGGAAACCAAAAGTCGTTACAACCAGAATGCCTGTGTAACAGTCTTGGCAGAAGTAAGTCTTTAGTGGATCAGTAAATTAGGATTTCTTACCACCAATGCTGCACAGATGGGGCCATGGATAATGTACAGCAAGGAGGTATCTGAGCTGACCCAACATCTGCAAAAGCATACATCACATTATCATAAAACACACAACTTTATGATTTATTTCGAAATGGTCATCATAATTTAAAAGACTCACTTGTCGTTGTAGAAGGAGTAGCGCGCTATCGAATGTATCACCGTCGGCACGAGTGGAAAACCTGCAGAATGCAACGAGAACATTTATGGCAATCCTCCTGACCTGCATCACCACCTGGACTGTCAATCAAGTACAGACCACTCCCCTCACTAAAGCCTATAAAGCTCCGCCCCTCAGGCCTGTAAGTTCCTTGTTTCCACACTGCAGGAAAAGAAACCCAACGTGAGTTTCAACAACTGTTTCTTTTTGATGAACTTTATTGGATTGATTTGACGCATTTGGTTGAGCATTTTGTTTTGTATTTGTTATGCTAGATGTCTGGATGCAATACACAAGATGTAAGTACAATTGACAAGCTTGTTTGGGGTTATGATGTTTAAAGACCCGTAATATATTCCTCATGTTCTTTCGTTTAGAGAAAATCATCCACAATTTACCACCATCAAAAAACTAACTCCAAAAAACGCTAAAAGGCTTTTGGGTTGGGAGTTTCAATGAGCACACAACACCAGATGTTCAGGGAGCCATTTGACAGTAACCGTGCATACATATGTCTTTACGCAGAGGTGGGAGAAGTACTAAGATCTTGTACTTAAGTCAAAGTAGAAGTATTCAGATCTGTAACTTAAGTCAAAGTAGAAGTACCACAGAGTACTCTGTTACAAGTAAAGGTCCTGCATTCAAAATGTTACTCAAGTAAATGTAGAAAAGTATTTGCATCAAAATATAGTTAAAGTACCAAAAGCAAAAGTAGTCATTGTGCAGATTGGTCCATTCCAGAATAATAAATATGATATGTTTTATAATGATTGATGCATTAAAAAGCATCAAAGTTGGTAAAGATGGTGCAGCTAGTTTGAATGACTTTGTATACTGCAGCTTGTGAATTTCTCCAGGTGTAACTAAAGTCTGATTTAAGAGTTGATTACATTTCACATCATGAATCAAAGTACAACATTGTACTTAAGTTGAGTGGTTGAGTAAATCTCTCTGTGTTTTTACGTACCCCAGCCTAGCAGGTAGTACCACACGAGGTGTTGTTTTTCTGCAAACACCGCAACCACGATCAGGGTGTGGAGGTAGATGCCCTCACACAGCATCCAGAAGTAGTTACAGCTCAGCAGGTACAGGTGGATGAACATGAGCAGCTTGCAGCATACCTAGAAGGGGAAATAAAAATCAGTCTTCATGTTTTCAATGATTTAAAACAATTTTGGTAGGATTTAGAAAGTGGGATCACTCACAGAATCGTTGTACGTGTGTCCCTGTTTCTTTACCACGGTTGTAAGCCAGACAACAGTGATGATGGAGTTCAGCACGAATGAGAGGAAGAGGTTTTTGTGGAGTGTTATCCTCTGGCAGCTCAGACTCCTGAGGGCAGCGGATGTAAATGTTGATAAATTATCCATAAGAAATGTTAAGAGATACTTACATTTAGGAGAATCTAAAAGCTGACTACACATTTGATGCTTTCTGGCAATCGTGTCCAATCAAACCTGGCTGCCTTTTGATAAGTTACAGTATTTATCTGAAGCCTACAACTCAAAAACTCTCATTAAAGGTCCCCTATTATACTCTTTTTCATCAATATATTATAGTTCTCAGTTATATACAAAACATGTCTCTGAAGTGTTTGGCTCGAAATACCAAACAGATTGTGCATTTTAGCATCCCATAATCCCCTCTGTTTCAGCCCTGTTTCAAAAGTGCTGATTCTGTGTCTGTTGCTTTAAATGCTAATGAGCTGCTGCTGGCAACGCCCCTCTGAGAGATATTTGGTTAAAAATAACACAATAGGCGCTTTCACACCAAGTACTTTGCCGTACTTAGTTCATCAGAACTCTTTAGTTCTCATGAACTAAGTACAGATGGCGTTCACACCGGAATAAGTCCCTGAGGGAGGATTAGGCAAATGAAGCCGCTGACGTCACTTCTTATTCTTCTGTTTTGGGTTTACTGGCAGGCCGCAAATCACGGCGTATACTGCCACCCGAAGTCCCCGGCTGGAAGTCCCCGGAGTTGGGGACTGGCTTCTACGGAAGCCTTCAGAGTAAATCGCCAGAAGCGCCGACACCTCCTCATCTCCACCGCTCCCATGTTTTCTTTTGTGTTGCCATAAGTTAGTCTCTCTCCGTTGGTGCGCTGGGCTAATGCTAATAATGCTAATGCCAGCAAATACAATGGCGGCTTCACAAAACTTTTCCGAGTTTTACGGGGCGTGGTTTGCAATTCGCCCAGCCAATCAGAAATTGGAACCTTTTCCTCCCCAGGAAAGTACCACCTCTCTAGCAGGCACTAACAAGGGGTGAAAAGGTTCGCAAAAGTTCTAGTTCCAGATCTTTTTGGTGTGAACGCAAAATCCCAGGAACTATCGGAACTATTCCTGGGAAAAGTACTCTAGGAGGAGATTCAGGTGATAAGGTATGGATCAGGACAAAAAGAGAGAATCTTTTTTCCTGAAACTTTCAGAATCTCTTTACACAGAGGGGACACATATTTATGAATGAAAGACATGACAAATGGGATTTTGCATAATAGGTGACCTTTAAAACATTAGCACAATATAATACTTACTTAAAATGGAAGAATATTCCTAACGATATGAGCAGTGACACCAGCGACAGGCCGTGACCAATCATAACAAGGTAGAAATGAGTCATTGCCGCCTGCAAGAAAACAAAGAATAAATACATCTTAATAGTAAAAGCTGCTTTATATAATAAGTATAATGTCTTTATTCCTCCTTACTCTCCCGTGATGCGTGGTGTTGGCATGGCAGATTGTGAAGTTGGTCCACGTCCTGTTGCTCTCGGGGTGGCGTCCCCACTCGCCCGTTTCTGAGCACACTTTGGAGGCCATTGCTGTGAACACATTTGCAACAACAAAATTGCATTTATGTTTGTGTTCGGATTAAGCAAATTAAATATAATAGGAAATTAGATGAGATGTAAAGATTGGCTGTTTGCCCCTGCCATCCTGTCTGTTTTATGCTAAGCTAAAGGACATAAGAGTGGCATTGATATTCATCTTAGAAAAGGAGTAAAGGTCACATTTTTTCAACCAAAATCAGAAGGATAGCCGAAGAGCTTCACCATCTAAAGACTAGAGATTATTCTTAAAAACAGTGAGAATGCACTTTAAAAAAATGGGAATAAAGTTATTATTTTTCCATTAATAGGTAAACGTCCTTTTTTGACAGCCTCAACTTAAAGGTCTCCTATTATGATATTTGCAGGCATATATTATAGGTCTCAGATATATAAAAAACATCTCTTTGAAGTGTTTAGCTCAAAATACCAAACAGATCACCCATTGTAGCCATGCCTCATACCCCTCTGTTTCAGCCCTGTTACTAAAGTGCTGATTCTGGGTCTGGCCCTTTAAATGTAACCGAGCTGCTGCTGGCCACGCCCCTTTGGAGCGTCCGCATGCAAGCGGTGAGAGAGGGTTGTATTTTCTGACACTTTGGGACTCTCCTTACACACCGGTGACACATATTTATGTATAAAAGACATAAAAAAGTGCATTTTGCATAATAGGTGACCTTTAACCTGTTAAGCCAGAGAGACCCCGGTACCGGGGCACTGCCGCAACATCTTGCAGGAAACAGTGTCTGAGGGCATGTTCATTTAATAAACTATGAATGTTTTATATCCATGTAACGGGAAGAAACTCATCTAACTGATCTTTTTTTTTTTTTTCAAAATAAAACCCACAATGCTAACACTGAGCCTCTGAATTAGCAACGAGCGACACCTTACTGCACCGAAAATCACTCACAAAACCTTATTATTTATCTCTTCTCCACATCCATGACATCGTTTCACATCGTGAGGTGACACAGAATCGTTGGACACCTACATTATCACTGAATTATACGAAATGGCGACGTTATAAGCAAAAACAGACATCAAAACAGGTGACGCTAGGTAGCTAAAAATGCTAACATTTTTACCTTGGCTCTGTAGTCTCTCCAAAGTGGTCTTCAATGGCATTAAAACGATAAAAACGCTGCTGAAGTTAATCCATAGGTTAATCCAATGTGTCTCTGTCCCTTTGAAATTATTTCTGATAATCCATAAGCATTAAAACTGGTTTTCCGTTTCCAGATGTCAAAGCTAGAGATAGGTTCACTCTGATGGAAAATTACATGCGCGAAGCCCCCACCTTTTCTCTTCACAATGAGTGTGTGTGGGGGACTCCCCCTTCGATTCTATTGGCTCTAACGGTCAGAAAGAGGTGTCAACCATCAAAATCGACCAAGGGGGGCCAGAGATATGGAAAATCCACACAAATGACCCCAGAAGTGGTTTCTTTTTGCTAAATCTCTCTAAAAAGGTCAAATGTCACTTGTTTTGCATCAATCTTGATACAGGGTACTTATTATATGTTGTACTTTGGATTCCTAAAGCTTTTAGTCTACCTTACCTTCATCCAAGGGTAGTTTTCACTATAAGTACACAATAATTTTTGGACGGACACTATCATTTACAGTTTTTTACTATGTAAAATCTAAATTTTCTTTAAAATAAAAAACATCTATATTGATTCTGACTTTTCTACATCCAACTCACAGGTTTATTATTACTTTGAGAAAAAAGATTATTAATTTAACCCTTTTGGAAGGGAAGATATGGTCATTTGTTCTGGGAATGTCATTTTCGAGCCTGAGACCTGAAAAACAGGCTCAGGGCTAAACAGGTTAACTATACAAAAAAAAAGTTTTTTAAGTTAGTCATATAACTGTACCACGAGGATCAAAATCTTTATAGTAGTCCGGACAGCTCTGCTCTGTTGGTCCGGCTTCAGTTTCATCCCAGCACAGCCACCCATCCCACGTGGTGTTGCACACTGGGCCTGCTCACAACAAAAGACACACACTGATATGTTAGAGTGACTAAATATGGGAGGTCAAAATCAGTCCTAGGATCTGATCTCTCACCTATTGATTTGGCTCTGCGGTGGGAATCTTGTACCATCCTCTGGAAACACTCGTACTGGGCCGTGGCGATTTGGTTCCGTGTCGCCCGGTGTTCCAGATGCTCCAGCAGGTCATCTTCAGGGGTCGCCACCACAAGCAGCTGTCGACACAATTGGAAACACACACAGATGCACACTTGTAGAGATTAGTGTGCAACTCTCCAGCCAGCACCAACACATGATGATTTATGTGGATAAAATACACAATTTAGATTGATTGATTGATTGATACATTTTATTTCGAACAAGTAAAATAAATAATTACAAAAAACAAAAAATGTTGCAGTGCATAGTCATGTAAGAGAACACAAAACAAAGTGACATTTACAACAACAACAACAGCAGCATTAGCAACATAAACAGTCCCACATCTAGTGTTCGAAAAGGAGTGAGAAGAATTATAACTTATTTAATCTCACCCCCTAGATCATTCCATTGCAAATCCAGATTCTCAAGTAGGAGAAAATGTCTTCGGGGCCACTTGGGAAACTAACATCTATCCCAAGTTGCATCATGGGAAGTGTAAGGTCAAGGTTAACCTTTTAATATTAGTATAAAGTGTGTATATCTCAGCTTCTATTCTCTCACAAGTTACTCAACTTTATGGAAGGGCAATACACAGAATCAATGGAGCGTCCCTTTAATGACTGCATCAGGGGGGTTTAAATATTAATCAATACAAATAATGCATTTCAAATGACAAGTATGGAATGTATGGAAGCAGTTGACTTGGTGTGGATCCACAGGGGATCATCTATCCTCTAATGTCAACAATGCATTGCCCAAATACATCAAATACACTACTAATTCAACCTTTAAAACTGAATGAATTATATAAAAGTCAATGGTGAAGCTGCAAAGAATGCAAAACAAGCATGCACAGGTGACATATGGCGCAGTTAAGATACCTTATTGAGGGTGCAAAAGACCAGGAGAGACATGACGCAGTTTCGTTCCATCGTGGATGTTCTGAGGAACGCAGACAGTAGTAGTTTGTAACTGAGAAAACTAAATGTATTATAACTTGAGCTGTACAAGAAAACAATACTTCACATGTTGCATTTATGTTAAATTCATAAGTCATGAAAACAAAACTGTCAGTAAAACTATGTATCCAAACCCGGGTCTTTAATTTTAAAAGGCAGGTCACCCCTTTTTGGATATTAGGGGTTACAGATGTGACCTTTAGCTTCCTCTGTTCCCCACAGCTTCCTTCCTGCATGCTTATTAAGCACGTTGAGCAAGTTGAACCAAGGTTTAGCCAAAAGACATTACCGTGGCAAATGCAGTAAAAGCATGCCCCATGAGAAGTAGAACATCTAAATGATAATACAAATGTCAAGCGATTGATATGTTGACAGTCGGTGGAACAGTTCTAATGGTGGTAAAGAAAATATCAAAATAATAACCAAAAATATTAAAAGCAGTAACAATCGACAGAGGTATGCTTTGAATGTTATTATATTGAATTACTTAAGAAATACAAGTCCCTCTCAATCACAATCTATTGTGGAATGTTCTCATTATGAGCTGCACCTTGCTTTTATTAAGAGGGGAGCTGCCATGTGGATTTGCTGTAGCTTATAGCATTAAATACATTAAAAAGCAATATATCATGATACTTTGTGAGCAAGTGAGTACATAGAAGCTTTCGGTTGTACTGTACCTGGTTGTTTCATATGTTTGAAAGTGTATATATTATTAGAATGTCATATTTGTTAATGTTTTTTAGAGATTTTTGTATTAAACCTTTATTTAAGCAGGTGGTCCCATTGAGACCTTTCAGATACAAATATATATCAAGGACTTATGTCCACATAAGCATAAACAGTTCAAAAAGACATTCACAAATGAACACTTCCCTTTTCTGAGTACCTTACGAGTGTTCCAACAGCAATCACAGTCTGCATGCTGAGAAACTGTTACACACGTACCTTCACAGGAGCTACTTTTTCCACTTCTTGGAGATTGTTCCTTTAGTCGGAGAGTTTACCTTCGCAGGGAAAGAATAGCTGTTTCCGAGACTTCCTTTGGAGTAATCCTTGAGTGCATGTGTTTCACAACAGAGTCAGAGAGTCACTGAGCAGAGGAGAGCTGACTGAGCTCAGGATGACATCACAGATAGAGGACATCCCTTCAGAAGAACGTCCGTTACAAAGGGTTGATGACATTACACCGTAGCGTTCATATATGATATTTGATAGTGAACTTTAGTGTCCCGGCTGTTGATCTTTAGAGTCTTTGAATCATATACAATGCTTGTTTTTCTGTTGACATATTTCATCTATAGCTGTCATGGTTATGAATATTGCATCAACAGGAACTGATTTACATGGCAGATAGAAATACTGCGGATATGTTTCAAGGACTTTCTTATCATATAACCAATAAATACTGAGCAGCGGTCAGACTATACAACCATCATGGTCCCTGGTAGACCCCAACACAGACTATACAACCATCATGGTCCCTGGTAGACCCCAACACAGACTATACAACCATCATGGTCCATGGTAGACCCCGACACAGACTATACAACCATCATGGTCCCTGGTAGACCCCTACACAGACTATACAACCATCATGGTCCCTGGTAGACCCCTACACAGACTATATAACCATCATGGTCCCTGGTAGACCCCAACACAGACTATACAACCATCATGGTCCCTGGTAGACCCCTACACAGACTATATAACCATCATGGTCCCTGGTAGACCCCAACACAGACTATACAACCATCATGGTCCCTGGTAGACCCCTACACAGACTATATAACCATCATGGTCCCTGGTAGACCCCAACACAGACTATACAACCATCATGGTCCCTGGTAGACCCCTACACAGACTATATAACCATCATGGTCCCTGGTAGACCACAACACAGACTATATAACCATCATGGTCCCTGGTAGACCACAACACAGACTATATAACCATCATGGTCCCTGGTAGACCACAACACAGACTATATAACCATCATGGTCCCTGGTAGACCCCAACACAGACTATATAACCATCATGGTCCCTGGTAGACCACAACACAGACTATACAACCATCATGGTCCCTGGTAGACCACAACACAGACTATATAACCATCATGGTCCCTGGTAGACCCCTACACAGACTATATAACCATCATGGTCCCTGGTAGACCCCTACACAGACTATATAACCATCATGGTCCATGGTAGACCCCAACACAGACTATATAACCATCATGGTCCATGGTAGACCCCAACACAGACTATATAACCATCATGGTCCCTGGTAGACCCCTACACAGACTATATAACCATCATGGTCCCTGGTAGACCCCAACACAGACTATATAACCATCATGGTCCCTGGTAGACCCCTACACAGACTATATAACCATCATGGTCCCTGGTAGACCACAACACAGACTATATAACCATCATGGTCCCTGGTAGACCCCAACACAGACTATATAACCATCATGGTCCATGGTAGACCACAACACAGACTATATAACCATCATGGTCCCTGGTAGACCCCTACACAGACTATACAACCATCATGGTCCCTGGTAGACCCCTACACAGACTATATAACCATCATGGTCCCTGGTAGACCCCAACACAGACTATACAACCATCATGGTCCCTGGTAGACCCCTACACAGACTATATAACCATCATGGTCCCTGGTAGACCCCAACACAGACTATACAACCATCATGGTCCCTGGTAGACCCCTACACAGACTATATAACCATCATGGTCCCTGGTAGACCACAACACAGACTATATAACCATCATGGTCCCTGGTAGACCCCAACACAGACTATATAACCATCATGGTCCCTGGTAGACCACAACACAGACTATACAACCATCATGGTCCCTGGTAGACCACAACACAGACTATATAACCATCATGGTCCCTGGTAGACCCCTACACAGACTATATAACCATCATGGTCCCTGGTAGACCACAACACAGACTATATAACCATCATGGTCCCTGGTAGACCCCAACACAGACTATATAACCATCATGGTCCCTGGTAGACCCCAACACAGACTATATAACCATCATGGTCCCTGGTAGACCCCTACACAGACTATATAACCATCATGGTCCCTGGTAGACCACAACACAGACTATATAACCATCATGGTCCCTGGTAGACCCCAACACAGACTATATAACCATCATGGTCCCTGGTAGACCCCAACACAGACTATATAACCATCATGGTCCCTGGTAGACCCCTACACAGACTATATAACCATCATGGTCCATGGTAGACCACAACACAGACTATATAACCATCATGGTCCCTGGTAGACCCCTACACAGACTATACAACCATCATGGTCCCTGGTAGACCCCTACACAGACTATATAACCATCATGGTCCCTGGTAGACCCCAACACAGACTATACAACCATCATGGTCCCTGGTAGACCCCTACACAGACTATATAACCATCATGGTCCCTGGTAGACCCCAACACAGACTATACAACCATCATGGTCCCTGGTAGACCCCTACACAGACTATATAACCATCATGGTCCCTGGTAGACCACAACACAGACTATATAACCATCATGGTCCCTGGTAGACCCCAACACAGACTATATAACCATCATGGTCCCTGGTAGACCACAACACAGACTATACAACCATCATGGTCCCTGGTAGACCACAACACAGACTATATAACCATCATGGTCCCTGGTAGACCCCTACACAGACTATATAACCATCATGGTCCCTGGTAGACCCCTACACAGACTATATAACCATCATGGTCCATGGTAGACCCCAACACAGACTATATAACCATCATGGTCCCTGGTAGACCACAACACAGACTATATAACCATCATGGTCCCTGGTAGACCCCTACACAGACTATATAACCATCATGGTCCCTGGTAGACCCCAACACAGACTATATAACCATCATGGTCCATGGTAGACCCCAACACAGACTATATAACCATCATGGTCCCTGGTAGACCCCAACACAGACTATATAACCATCATGGTCCCTGGTAGACCCCAACACAGACTATACAACCATCATGGTCCCTGGTAGACCCCAACACAGACTATATAACCATCATGGTCCATGGTAGACCACAACACAGACTATATAACCATCATGGTCCCTGGTAGACCCCAACACAGACTATATAACCATCATGGTCCCTGGTAGACCCCAACACAGACTATACAACCATCATGGTCCATGGTAGACCCCTACAGACTATATAACCATCATGGTCCCTGGTAGACCCCAACACAGACTATATAACCATCATGGTCCCTGGTAGACCACAACACAGACTATATAACCATCATGGTCCCTGGTAGACCCCAACACAGACTATATAACCATCATGGTCCATGGTAGACCCCAACACAGACTATATAACCATCATGGTCCCTGGTAGACCCCAACACAGACTATACAACCATCATGGTCCCTGGTAGACCCCAACACAGACTATATAACCATCATGGTCCATGGTAGACCACAACACAGACTATATAACCATCATGGTCCCTGGTAGACCCCAACACAGACTATATAACCATCATGGTCCATGGTAGACCACAACACAGACTATATAACCATCATGGTCCCTGGTAGACCACAACACAGACTATATAACCATCATGGTCCCTGGTAGACCACAACACAGACTATATAACCATCATGGTCCCTGGTAGACCACAACACAGACTATATAACCATCATGGTCCCTGGTAGACCCCAACACAGACTATATAACCATCATGGTCCCTGGTAGACCACAACACAGACTATATAACCATCATGGTCCCTGGTAGACCCCAACACAGACTATATAACCATCATGGTCCCTGGTAGACCACAACACAGACTATACAACCATCATGGTCCCTGGTAGACCACAACACAGACTATATAACCATCATGGTCCCTGGTAGACCCCTACACAGACTATATAACCATCATGGTCCCTGGTAGACCCCAACACAGACTATATAACCATCATGGTCCCTGGTAGACCACAACACAGACTATACAACCATCATGGTCCCTGGTAGACCCCTACACAGACTATATAACCATCATGGTCCCTGGTAGACCCCAACACAGACTATACAACCATCATGGTCCATGGTAGACCCCAACACAGACTATATAACCATCATGGTCCATGGTAGACCACAACACAGACTATATAACCATCATGGTCCCTGGTAGACCCCAACACAGACTATATAACCATCATGGTCCCTGGTAGACCCCTACACAGACTATATAACCATCATGGTCCATGGTAGACCCCAACACAGACTATATAACCATCATGGTCCATGGTAGACCCCAACACAGACTATATAACCATCATGGTCCATGGTAGACCCCAACACAGACTATATAACCATCATGGTCCCTGGTAGACCCCTATACAGACTATGCTATAAAACCCTTTGTTGTGAAATACAAATGATGTGCAATATAAATATATATGCCGTTAATAACTGTTCAATATAAACCTGGCTGCTATATCTCAGAACTGTTACAGGACGTGTATTTACTAAATAGTGTAATTTCTTTTGTATGCATGCTTCTTAGTTAACATTAGGCTGTCTTTGGCTCTGCTGTAACAAATGTACATTTCCCCTCTGTGGGACGAATAAAGGCATTCTGATTCTGGTTCTGAATCTGTCTTATAATGAATCATAAGCTCCAACGATGCTCATCAGATAGCCGATGTGAAAACAAAGAAAATCACAGAAGTAGAAGTGAGAATCTCAGAAATGAAACGGTGCAAACATTGTCCTAAAATATCAACAGAAATACATTTTAGAATAAAGTTATCTACAGAGGTGTAAAGAGGAATGCAGTCAATGTATGCATACAGTTATATTCATGCGTACAAAAAGATATGAACAGATTGTAAAACAATAAATTAAAGGTGATTATTATAGTAAAAATGTGAATATTCCAGTTACAAAAAGAGTGCTAATCCTACAAGGTTACAGACTGGCTATTATGTATTACTATAAATAAACTATATTATATCAAAAAAG